CTGTTAAGATCTGAAGCACTGAAAAGTCTATGGGCTCTCTCTAAGAAAATATTTTAATCTAAAAAGCTCTTACACCAAGAGTTATTTTATAAAATGTCAAATCTGTTACCACAATATCAAAAGGAAAACAGATTTTTTCATTGATCACACTTTGTGTTATTTAAAAGTCTTTTAATCATGATTTCATTAGTGCCATGTGCTCTTAGCATTTATGCTCGCAAGTGGAGTTTTTGGCAAAAAATAAAGAAAATTGTCAATTCTGTTACCGTCAAACTCTGTTACCATGTTAGAGTAACAATGCTGACAGTGCAGTAACAGAGTTGACAGTCCATCAGACAATTCTGTTACTTTACAATTCTGTTACTTAAAGGGTCAACTCTGTTTATGAACTATTTTCACAAAAAACAGTAAAATTGTTGTTTAAAATCTAATAAACATTATTGATTTATTTTTACAGCCTTATAATATTTCAACAACATTTATTTTTTTAACTGGATATTGTATATAATACAAAAAATATTTGCTACAAGTGGACGGTTCTGTGAAGAAAGGTATTTTTTTTATTTTTAAGGTACGCATAGGTGAAATATCATCTCAGTTTGAAGTGATGGAATGCAAGGACAGTTTGTCTAATGAAACAAGAAGGATTTTTCCTGTTATGATTTATTGTTATTTCTACACATTGGCTAATTTGTCCGTAACAGAGTTGACAAACAATAAAAAAAAAAAACAGTTTTTTCAGTAAGTTGTGTTTGGCAAGCACTGAATTATTAAAATTAAATATGTTTTCAATAAGATACTAAAAAAAAAAATTTTTAGTGAAAAGTTTTTTTTCTTAACTTTCTGCAATGCCAAATGTATCTCCAATTATAGAATCACCCCCATGTTACCCATTAAAAATAAAAGTTTTTTTTTCAGTGGTTTTTGCATGCGCATCAACAGGAGAAAACAGAGAAAAATTGAATAAAATGACATAGGAATAAAATAAATAGGCCTACAAGAAATATGTTTCAGTTAAATAATTAACAAGTTAACAAAAAAGGGGGGGGGGGGAATCAGTTTCGTTTCATTTTTTTTTATGGCCGCACCACAAGTTTAAGGAAACAGGCTTGAAAGCGCATCCTTTATTTCTTTATTTTACAAAGTCATAGTTTTGTTCTTATTGTGAATATGCATAATTAAAAGTAAACGCTTTACAGTCTCAATGATGTCAGATTGAATTATTTTCCGCTGTGATAAGGACAATATCGGTGATCACGCCGAGCCTCTCACGCGCACTTTATAACGAATACATTATAATTTGTGTTTTATTTTAGAATTGTATATTTCATTTTGTACTATTATTTTATAGTATTTCTTACTCCGTTCCGAATAGGTACAATTTAAAGGATTTGCTGACAAATTATAGGTGACTAAGGTTATATTGATTGATTTATTTTTTGACTAATAGGCTAGATGTGTATTATAATTTTTATCCATGCAGTAAAAGTTTTAAAAATAGCTTTGGAGGGAAAAAAGGTCAATTGTACGTAAATTGGGCGAGCAATATTTGATCTAAAGATCAGATGCTCCCCTCAAAAGAAATCAGGACAGAAGTGGTCGAAAGTGGACAGAAGAGACGGATTAAAACACCAGGTGTGAACGGGAATGTGTTCCCCTCGTCTACTTGTGATCCGATCGACCGAAACGCATCTTAATACCAGGTGTAAACTGGGCCTTTGAGACAGCAAAAATTGCTAGCTAAATGAAAGGAGCCCTGTCTGATTGAAAACTGACTATTTCATCTAAAATTTGTTTTTTATGTTTATTTTTGTGTGCTTACTATCAGAGGTTTATTCTGGTGTTAGCTTGTAAAAATACATGATAAACCCTTGCATTTTTAGTCAGTTTCTATCAGCTCTGAGGTCATATGCTAGTGCACTCCTAATTTTGACAAACAAATCATGCTTTGCAGATGTGAGTTAAACTAAAGGCTATTATTTCCTTCTATAGGTCAAAGAGAACCAAGAGGGGCCTCAGGAAGTGAATGCTGTGTGGAAAGACAAACTCGACTCCGCACAAACCCACAGAGATCATGTCCAGGAGAGCTGCTTATACTACTTTACAGATTCTGTTGCTTTTATTTAGTCCTCACTGAATAAACACTGTAGATTTTGACTGAACAACTGAACAAAACGAATAAAAATGAGAAAATGAAGTAGCAAAAATGATTTTGTTAACTTGTGTAGGCCTACACAACTTTTAATAAAAATTGCATAAATGCATGAGTGAAACAAAATATTCAACAAGATGTAATGTAGGCAGGACTTGATTGTATCCATCAGCAATCCATCAAATGTGTGTGTGTGTGTATTTTGAATGACAGTATATACCTATAGGCTACGGGTGCTGTCCGACTGAACGATTCTGACCGCAGTGGTGGGCCGTTTAGACCAAAAAATGTCCAGTCCAGCCCTGCTCCATATGCAGCCAGAACGAATGCAAATTTGCTAAAACAATGTTCAGAACCTAACCACTCACTACATGAGCTTCACGCTGTACGTTAAACTCAGCAAGTGCTGCCCAATATTCTTACTCTTATTCCATGGTCTGTCTGAATACTGGATTCTGATTGGCTGGCGGGTATGCAGTAAATCCGTTTAATGCACAGGTTGTTCCAAATCGGTTTAATCACCGTTCTATATTAATGCGCATCTCTCTCTCTCGCTCTCTCTCGCTCGCTCGATAATTAATTGAAATACATGCTATAATTCATTCAAATAAATGTGATCTTACTGCACTATTTCATCTCTGTGTATGATTTGAAGCGGGCAGAATACTAGAGCTAACGTGCCATAACTGAGAAAAATTTTACCCATTCGGTCAAATATTGTGCTGCAAAGAGCAAAACTAGTTGTAACTGGTCTATAACTTGGCAAATGACCATGGAATAAGGGATAATCAATGGCTAGCCGTGCATTAAAGGATTTTAAATGCACTTCGAGGAGGCGATTTAAAATCCTTTAATGCATGGCTAGCCGTTGATTATCCCTTACATAAAAAGCTCACTTGCATTTGAAATCTTCATATAAACACATTAGGCTACATAACTATTGTATGAAAGGAATATTTTTATAATACACAATAACACACACCTAACTGCTCTCCGTTAATGTCCCCTCAGGCCTTTCTGTAGTTTTAGGGTCAAAGAGGTCAGGAGATTCACATCTCAAATGATTTGCATATTAACATTTTGCACAGGAGCATATATACTGTATGAACACTCACCATTCTGCTTTTCACATTCACTTTCTGCTTGAGCACTGGTAAGTGCCCATCTGAAACAAAACTCAGTGGAGAACAAATGATGTTTTTGAAGTAATATTGGCACAAAACAATGATTCTATTAATTATGAGCAGAACATGCCAAACGCAGCACCAAAACAGCCTTTGATGTGCACAGCTGTCATATATTTGGATTAGCAGTCCAGTGTTCAAGCTCTCCGATAGCATGACAGGAACGGAGGAACTTTATAATTGCACAGGGGAATGTGTGTGACTCATAAAAGCCTCTCTTGGCTCATCGCCCATCGTTTCTAGTGTAGGGTGGAGATCTAGGTGAATACGAAACTAAATCCCAGAAAGAGGGATTTTACCATAAAAATGGGCGACTGATTACTCAATTTCTCCACCAGTGGATGTCAAGCTCAAAAATGACAGAAAAGCACCATAAAATATAATAAAAAACATCCATGTGACTTGTGTGCTAAATTCCAGATCGGTCCAATTCATGAATGAATCAATCTCTGTGTGTAAACTGCTTCACTGAAAAGATCTGAGAGGATATTTAGTGAATGACAACTTTTGTTAAATTTGTGGTCTGTCGTTTACACAATGCACCTGGTATATAGCATCACGCAAACACTTTTATGATTTTTGAGGGGCTTTTGTGTAATTTTAGCCCACATTACAGTGAGAGCATAATAGTTCTTAAGCAACTTTTTTGGCAGGAATTGTTTTCCATTAAATCTACAATATGTCCTGTATATACACATAATGTCCTGCAGTGGAGATCAAAATTAGAGAACAACCTTCAATTTCCTACATTTCAAGGTCACTGCTTAGTCCTAACAGGAGTAGAAGGGCACTTTTTTAAAGCATATTTCATAAATGAATTGTATTCTGAAGCACAGTATAAAAAATGAGATATTTGAAAAAGAACTCCTGGTGCTAATTTCCTTAATTATATAACAAACCCTATTTAACTGTCAGCATTCCTCCAATATTCACTGAGATTGCAAGATGGCTGCTCTAAGCCGCTCTAAGATGACTGAAACCCTGCGACAGGAGGTGATCCAGATTAAGGCCAAGACAAGAGAAGCTAGTTGTTACAAATCTGTGATTTCTAGAATATTGTAGTTTTACAATGACACTAATTCATTCAAGTTCCCCAAAAAGGCTGGTCGTCCATGAAAGACAAATGCACGAGAGGGCAGTATAATGCAAAGACTCTCAATAGGGAATCGGTTCAACACTGCAGCTGGAATTGCTCGGCAGAGACTGGAAGAAGAGTGGACCAAGATCACACCAGCGCAGTTTGAGAAACTAGAGAAGTCCTGCGGCCGCAGACAGGGCCGGATTTACGCATAGGCAGAAACAGTGGGCCCTATCATACACCCGGCGCAATGCAGTGTTTTTTGCTAGTTTCAGCCCGACGCAGTTGTCATTTTCACGTCCTGCGCCACGTTGTTTAAATAGGAAATGCATTTGTGCCCATTTGTGTGCTCATGGGCGTGCTGGTCTGAAAACGAGGTTTGTTCAGGCGCATTGCTGGCGCCTTGCTATTTTGAGGCAACTGAAATAGTGCCATTGACCAACAAAAACCTAGTCTAAAGTCAATGGCGCAGTAGTTTTTTTGTTATTTAAAGAGCACGTTAGTATAGTCGGGTCCACAGCGCGCATACACTCTGCTTATTACACACACAGGGACGCAGCACACAAACATGCCAGATATTACAAATTAAAGGATTATTATTGTGTAGGCTACATAAATTAAAAAATGCGCACATGTCATAATGGATAGTCATTGCATGTATCAGAATTAGGTTACCTATTTGCTCGCGCACGAGCAGCTCCGTTTCATCTCTGGAGACGCGTTCGGTCTTTGCACTTGCAAATTCCGCCGTGTAAATAGAAAATACGCCATGGCACGAGCGCAACTGGCTCCTAAAGGGAATGGGAGATGAGACTCTTATTGAAGTGGGGTATGAGTGGTTATGAACGAATGAATGAAACGCATTTGTCTGTGTTTCACTCCGTCTCGAATCGCGCTCTCGGAAAGCGCTTGAGAAACAGTGTCTACTCCGCGGCTCGGTTTGCTTTCAACTCGTTTTTTTTAGTCTGGAACCAGACTGTACAACATTCACATTGCACGATTTAACTGATTTTTACGTAGAAAGGGCGACAGCGCACCGCATCAAAAGAAATGATCATTCATGTTTTCATGACCGCTGGCCAAATTAAAAAACGAAACTAAAATGAAATCATCTTTGAGAGCAAGGGGGCCCCCTGGTGTTTCGGGGGCCCTACACAGCTTGCGTATTTTGTGTATTGGGAGGATCGGCTCTGCTCGCGCACACACGCGGAGACGCGAACAGAAAATTCTTGTCAGCGCTGCCCCGCGAATTTATCAATAAAATAGTTTCGCAGCTGAAAAGCTACATGACATTACTCAGTTGCAAGGTTCTTGAAGCAGTTTAACTGAAAGATTCGCTATTAGTAGATGCTACTGCTGAACGCTGCTGGGAGACGCACAAAAGCAAGTATTCACACACGCTTAATCTCTCTCTCGCTCTCTTTCGCTCTCTCTCTCTCTAATAACCGCATTAGACTGCATTAATAACTGCGTTAGCCTGCATATCAATGGCTCAAGCCTCCATTATTAGCTCTAAAATTACATTTTGGAATTTGCAACGGAAGGTTTGGGATGAGGTGCATAAAAAAAATGAGTTCAACAGACAAGATTTCAGGACGGAAACATGTCAAATGTCTTGAAACAAATCATCTGAACAATGTCTTGATGTGTGGTTGTGACTCCAGGCCGTACTAATACAATTATTAGAGAAATAATGCACTCCCGAAGTGGTTATTATGTGGCCACGTTGCCGCGCCTATTAATGGAATGGTCTTTCTCAGTTCTCAAACAAATTTCTGACAGTTGTAATCTTCTTTCGTGCTACAGTGGTTACTGTATTTGATCACTGCTTTCAACAAAAAGTTTTTTGTTGTTGAAATGCCTTGGTTATTTTGTCAAACATGTTCGTTTAGCAGTGGAATACCCACAGCTAATATTCCTTCCAATTTTGAGCGATGAAGAATAACAATATTTCAGAAAAAATCAAGTATTTATAGATTGGTCTCTAATTTTGATCTCCACTGTATGAAGGCAGGACAGTATTCTGAAACTCTGTGGCTTCCTGCAGAACTGAAATACAAAAAAAAATCATATTAAGTAGGAGTATGAAAGGATTCAGAATCAAGGCCATAAAATAAAACAAACTATCTTTCCAGTCACTTGCACATCTCTCAGGATATTTTCATGCGTGTCGCGTCCTCGTACGCTGTAGCAGTGACGGCATTTACAAACGTGTCCTTTTTCATCCCTTGCTGCAAAAGAATAAAGGGTCAAAACTATAAATGGAGCATCATTGTCCTTTCAAAATCACACACACAAAATCACAATTAACAGTGTGAAAGCTCTCAGAAACAAATGCATGTCGTGGTTTCCACTGAATCACTGCTTCATAATCACGTGTTCATGCATACACGTCTGTCTGAGCTCCTGAGCTTCAGCATGTGCTAAAGTCAGACGTAACTGAATGTTTCACTACTGACTGACTGAGGTGCAGGAATGGAACATCAGACGAACTTAATATTCACAACAACAACTGCATAAACTGTTTGTAATAGTCCTGCTGTCAATAGGTAAAAAAAATTCAGAATTGCATCAACAACATGCAATGCTGATTAGTCAAATTAAATTACAGTCAATCACATATATCAATATATTTGGCATCTTCTGTTCTGCAAAAAAAAAAAAAGGTCATTTATTAAATATTTATTTATTTCCTAACTTGATGCTCAGTTCAAAAACATCAATAAAAACTTTCCATGTTTTTATTTTCTTTCAGAAAATAGGAATTGAGATTTTTCAAATTATATATGCATCAGCTTTAATGTATATTTAATGCATAAAATAAAATAAAAAAGTCAAATGTCAAAAGTTTTAATGACAAAATTAAGTATTCAAAATGCATCATTTAACTTACAATCTGCAAAGGAATAGAAAAGCACATCTCTCAGGATATTTTCATGCGTGTCGCGTCCTCGTACGCTGTAGCAGTGACGGCATTTACAAACGTGTCCTTTTTCATCCCTTGCTGCAAAAGAATAAAGGGTCAAAACTATAAATGGAGCATCATTGTCCTTTCAAAATCACACACACAAAATCACAATTAACAGTGTGAAAGCTCTCAGAAACAAATGCATGTCGTGGTTTCCACTGAATCACTGCTTCATAATCACGTGTTCATGCATACATGTCTGTCTGAGCTCCTGAGCTTCAGCATGTGCTAAAGTCAGACGTAACTGAATGTTTCACTACTGACTGACTGAGGTGCAGGAATGGAACATCAGACGAACTTAATATTCACAACAACAACTGCATAAACTGTTTGTAATAGTCCTGCTGTCAATAGGTAAAAAAAATTCAGAATTGCATCAACAACATGCAATGCTGATTAGTCAAATTAAATTACAGTCAATCACATATATCAATATATTTGGCATCTTCTGTTCTGCAAAAAAAAAAAAAGGTCATTTATTAAATATTTATTTATTTCCTAACTTGATGCTCAGTTCAAAAACATCAATAAAAACTTTCCATGTTTTTATTTTCTTTCAGAAAATAGGAATTGAGATTTTTCAAATTATATATGCATCAGCTTTAATGTATATTTAATGCATAAAATAAAATAAAAAAGTCAAATGTCAAAAGTTTTAATTACAAAATTAAGTATTCAAAATGCATCATTTAACTTACAATCTGCAAAGGAATAGAAAATATATGTTAAAATACTCTAATGAACTTTAATATCAAAGAACTTTACATAAACAAAAGTTTAAGATTATTATATTTTTTTTCTGGAAGTAGTAAAACCCCCGCAGATGTACAATAAAATCTGGGTCATGTTTGCATTTTCTTCTGTCACTGGGTATAATTCTAATATAAATATAATAATATATATGAATATTATATTACTAAAAAAAGTATTATTTTCCTGTTATTACAAATATCTGTAAATGTATGCATCACAACATTATAATTTAAAGTATGAAAAATGGATATTCATTTTAAGATTTGCTACATTTCACAGGGTTATTAAATTATTAGGGTTTTTAAGATTACATTTAAGTGAGCACTAGATGATGACACAGCTCATTTAAACATAAGAATCAGGGAATGAGCAAAATTAAATAGCCAGTGTCAATTAAATTATATACTGATACATTTAAAAATCTCTAATATAAGAGGTTATATGTAAGTTTCTAATATACGTTTTGGACCAATGAGATGTCAGTGTGGGCCGCGCTACACAACCTCATGCTACTGAAACACAAACGAATGATAAAATGACCTGCTTCTCAACGGCTGCTTTTTCTTAAAAACTCAGATTAACATGGATCCAGACAGCTTTATTGCGATGTAAGCCTAAAGATCTAAATCAGCATCATGTGATCAAAAACATGGCTGCTGAGATGCCAATATACACAATGTGGATTACAATTATAGTCCATGAGCATGTGGTATACTGTATGTTTGAATGTGTTTGTATGTTCCAGTATACGAGTGAGAGTGTGTGTGTGTAAAAAAAAAATTTAATTACTTGTACTTTTTAATATTTCTGTATTTCTTTTATGCATACAATATGATCAATTTTAACATATGTAACAATAATCTAATAAATATTAAAATTAAATAAAATCACACTAACAGAAAATATATTGGCCTTGATATTAATTACTGGTATATTTGTTGCATAAATCATGTCAATAAAAATCTAATAAATGTTAAACAAACAAATAAAATGTGTAAAAAAAAAAAGAAAGAAAAAAAAAAGCAATAACACACTTGATGTATTTTATGATGTATTTTTGGGTAATTGAAATTTGAATATTTAATAAATGAATAAATAAAATGTTACATCTTGTAAAACAAACTATTAAATACATACGTGCATGCATACATTCATAAATGTTTTATAAAAGTAATATCACACTAACATGACATGTTTTAGGTAACTGGCTTTGATATTAATTATATATCACACTTGCAATAAAACCTGCTGAAAAGGCCAGCTGTATTATGAATGGTATGAATTTCCGTGTCGGTCCATTGCTGGTTTGTTGCATGGAAATTACCAAAAAGTACTGCTGGCTGGAGAATGATTTCACCCAAAACTGAAGATTCATGCCTTTACAAACCTGTATGACTTTCCTTTTTCAGCGAAACATAAAAGGACATTTTTATTTCAACTATTACCGTTCAAAGGTTTGGGGTTGGTAAGGTTTTATGTTTTTGAAATAAGTCTCCACAGCTCTGCTCACCAAAGCTGCATTTGATCAAAAATACATTAAAAGCATTCTATTTGAGTATATTTTAAAATTTAACTTTTTTCCTGTGATCAAAGCTGAATTTTCAGCATCATTACTCCAGTCTTCAGTGTGTCACATCATCCATCAGAAATCATTCTGTGATATGCTGATTTGCTGCTGATGAAATATTTCTTATCAATGCTGAAGACAGTTGTGCTGCTTAATATTTTTGTAGAACAATGTTTATTTGAAAAATATATATTTTTTTTTTCAACAAACACTTTTCAAAGCTTGAAATCTCCAGGAGCTTAATATTTTTTTTTGTGAAGTGGCATGTGGCCAAGTATGGTGACCCATACTCGGAATTAATGCTCTGCATTTATCCCATCCAAAGTGCACACACACACACAGCAGTGAACACACACACCGTGAAGCAGTGGGCAGCCATTTATGCTGCAGCACCCGGGGAGCAGTTGGGGGTTCAGTGCCTTGCTCAAGGGCACCTCAGTCGTGGTATTGAAGGTGGGAGAAAGCGCTGTACCCCCAACTGCTCCCCGGGTGCTGCAGCATAAATGGCTGCCCACTGCTTCTCGTAAACCTTTGGTTTACGAGTCCGACTCTCTAACCATTAGGCCACGACTTCCCGACTTTTCCTATTGTGTTCCACAGAATACAGAAAGTCATATGCGTTTGTAATGGAATAATGATTAGTTTTATTTTTGGGGGAACTAATCCCGCACGCTAGTTGTTTTATCAGGAGCAGCTTGTACCTTTTGGGTCTTGGAGCTCTTGGGGCTCTTGGGGCTGAAGAGGCTCTTTTTCTTATTGTTCTCGTTCGGTCTCTCATCAAGAACAGAGAACTGTTTGAAGTGATCAGAAGCCTCTTTCTCCAGCTGGTAGCTCAAGTTATGAAGTATGCAGACACAGTTTTCCACCGACTGCTCCCACATCACCAAAACAAACAGAACCAGGACACAGAAGTCACTTTTAGCTTGTTGCACTACATTTTTGTCAATATACTGAAGTATTCTTGTAGAGTACTTTAAAACTCTCTGAATATGTTTAACCATATAAAGCCCAATGTATCACATCTGGTACGTGAATTTCTAGAGCCTACACATTTCCAACATGATCAAAGAGTTGCAGACAATCTTCTGTTGTCTTATTGATCGTTTATACATTTTAGTAAAAGGTCTTTTAATATAACTGTACAAACGTCCACTTTCAGTTTATGGTTCGTCTTTTTGCTGAGAAATCATTAATGGTTTTTATCAAGTACGTTAGCAATATTTTAAGATGAAGATTTACTGTACTAAAGCAACTTGATTTTATTTATTTATTTTTTTTTAAATCATGTTAAAATGTGAGTATCGATTAAGATCATCAGGCTTTTGAGGAATGTTTATTTGTTCATCTCTCAATCATTGTTGTATTGATTTGCATTATGTGTTTTGCCCCACAATAAAAACTACAGAGCTTTGATCATAAAACTAAGCATTTAAATATAATTTTACTAAGACATATGATGGAGAGATATAGACTGACAACTGATACTTATATGCACTTTAAGTAAGTAATATTTCATACTGTTATAAAGATATTGTTGGTTTACATTACAACCTATCAGAATTTCATTATTTTGGTCATATATAAATATCAGCAACTGCACTAAAATGCATTTTTGCTCAGTCTGGGCCTCTGAATAAAATTGAGGTGTTTTGTCCTCCTCAAGTATGAGCTCCATATTCTATATCATACTACATGAGCAATAAAAGCCTGATGTATTAAATATTATACGCAACAAAATATATTCAAAGTTTTTTTTTGTCTAAAGGTTCAATGAACATTTTCAATAAAGGTCCACTTAAAAAAAAAATTCTGACTATTATTTCATGTCAGGCTTTACGGGGTTAAAAAATTCAAACTTATTTAATAATATGTTAAATAAAGATTAAATTAAATTAAAAATACCTTGCAGCTCTATTAAAATATACACCACATGGTCAAACGTTTGTGGACACCCTTTTAATAAACAAGTTTAGTTAGTCACCTTATTTCCATATTAATGCAACAGCATACAATATCATTTTACATGTACATTTAATAATTTCAGAGTAAATCAGTTTTAGAGAACTTTGTGCTTCTAACTTTGGGGCGTCTGTTTCAGTGTCCATGTATTTTTCCATGTAGTGTAAGAGCTTGGAGATCATGTAGCATAAATGAAAGCATGATAACCTTGTCATCTGGCTCGTTATGATCCTTTTGAGTCTGAACGTAAGTCACGAGAGAGTCGATAAGTTGCGGGCAGCTCCTCATTGATATCCTCTCCTCCTCTCTAGCACAGCTGAGGTTTCTGCGAGAGCACAACCAAAACTTAACATTAAAACCGACATTACTTCTGTAAAACAGCACGATGATTAAACGTGCGCCAATCTGTGGTGTAACAGTCCTCTGTCTGTCCTGAAAGTAGAAATGTGCATAGACTTCTGGGCCCGTATTCGTAAAGAATACTCTCAGAAAGCTCTTAATTTAGCTTAACAATTTCTACGTAAGAGTCTTAGCCTAAGAGCGATTCAGGACCGATCTGAGAGCAACTTTAAGTGAGGAAAAGACAAAAACTTTCATCTTAGTGAGGAGTCTGAAGACATTTGAAGACTGTGATTGGTTGGTTGTCCAAGAAGGAGAAAAAAAAAAAGTGCTTTAGGGTTTTTTTTATAAGCTTTCCTGTTTTACCGTACTCTCTCTCGCAAACACATTATATATATGTACATATATATATTCTTACTTTTCTATTTACCATGCTGTTAATGTTGTACTTAAGGTATTTAATAGGAAACGAACAGCGACACAATAAGGTTCTGAAAGTGCTGTAATTGTTTGTGTGATCACTTTGCTTGTAGAAGGTTATGACAGACCCAAATCATCATTGCTGCAAAGTTGCATTTTTCCAGTTGCCAAATATGTTAACGTAAAGCCACGTTCACACCGCAGCAGAATACGGTTGTCAGTCCTGTATTTGAGTCCTTAACATGGTTACGTTCACACAATACAGTTATTTACGGGGGCGACAACCGCAATCTATTACCGAACTCACACCCGTCTATTTTCAGGACTCACAACTGCATTCTCGGAAAACGTGAAACGTGTGTGAACTGGACAACTAGTTGTAGTACAGTGCGAGAGAGCCGCTCATGTGTGGTTTCACTCTGGGTAAGTTACAGCGACGGAGAAATGAGCTGTGCGTCATCTAGGTTCTAGATCCAGTCACTGTTCTCCACTGGAGCGGTTTCCGGCAGTTTTATGTTCTGTGCGTGACTCAAATGCAGTGTCAGGACGCGAGGGCTTGTATTCAAGACACTACTGTAAGCTGCTGTTTGAACGGGACATTTCGAGACTCACACCTGTAAGGAAATGCGGTTGTCAATCCCTAAAACTGACAATGTGAACGAGGCCGTAGTTAATGTAGTGATTACTTTCATTTCTGGCGGTATGGCGTTTTTAAACTGTGTCGTAAATGTTAGCGTGTCTCTAATAATATTGGTCACAAACATGATCACTGCACGATCTAATGTGTCTAATATTGTGTGCAATGCATCTCTTCTCCCTCTTCACGTTTCGTTGATTTTCTCCACTGCTAAAGAAACTCTTAAGCCTCTTAAATGTCCTCGTCAGTACTTCTAACAATTGTGGACCTTAAGAGCTCTTTTAAGGGTTAAGATGCTTTCTGAATGACTTTCTTCTTTACTAGGATCTCTTCTTTCATTTTAAGAGGAAACGCCCACATTTCTTAGAATTTTGTCACTAGGAGCAACTCTTTGCACTAACAACGTTCATGAATACGGGCCCTGATTTTTATCAAGGTACTAAGCAAGCAATAAGGTGTATACATGGTTATGAATTTGACAAAGTAAGAGTATTTACTCACCCTCATGTCATTTAAAACCGTGTAATGTTATTTTTCTGTGGAATGATATAAGCTGTTAACTTGGAATATAGTACTAATTGTTACATTTATAATCATTTTCTTATATAATTGTTAATATATATAATTATTAATTATAATTATATATGAATAATAATAATTAATATATATATAATTGTTACTTTTATTGTGAGTTTTCTGAAAGGAATCTTGACAAATAATGTAAAAATTATTTTTGTGTGTGTGTTCCATGAACAAAAACAACAACATATGAGCTTGGAATGACATAAGGGTGCCTATATTATGACAGAAATTTCATTTTAGAATGAACTATGACTTTAAGTGAAACCAGCAAGTATCTCAATGAATGCATTTTGCTTAAAACTATTGTTTTATTCCTTTTGGATCGATGTCACTGTGTTCTTGTACTCAACAGTCAGTTTGACTGTTTCTCTGACAGTGTAACACACCTTAAACAGCCGGTGGTGTTGTAGAAGACCTCGGGGTCAATGTGTCTGTTAGTGTTGACGTCAGTCCAAACGCTGTACGGCACCACAATGGTTTCTGTAAGCAGTGGCAGGGCGTTCTTGATCAGCTCTGTCTTCAGTTTATCAGCCGAGGACAGATTCCACAACAGACCTGAACATCAAAGGGTCATACTGCATATTTCATATTGTATTTTTTTTAAACAGCTTTTGATAAACACGTACATATTGAACACAAAACCAATTCACGTCACTTTCTTTTATTTTAACAATAAAGGACACCATTCACATATAATGTCACATACAACATATTAAGCACAGGAAAGAGGCGAATGAGAGTGGCACGTCTTACCAGTGAGTTGTTGATGCGTTTCTGTAACGTTGGTGTTTCCGAGCAAGGTCAGAATGGCCTCTATTCCTTCACAACTGTCCACTTCAAGCTTGTTATTGTTGTCTTTAAAAACCAAGTTGCGCAGTGCAGCGGCGGCGGTCTGGTGCAGCTGTGAATTGTCGCTTTTCAGCAACTGAATGAGGGCAGGAATCCCTCCCAAACGCCAAACCTTTCAGCGATACAAAACAAGATAGATAGATGGATAGACGGATGGATAGATAGAAGACATTTTATCAGAATAGTCAACAAATTATGAGAGCTTAATCAAATATGAAAATGGTTGGTGGTTTTTATGGCTCTTTCTTATAGAATTACCCAACATGCATCAGTAGACAGGTTTAATTCTGACTGAAATCTTGTTTTAGTTTGCTGACCTCTTGTTTGGGTTGGTCTTCAGTGTAGGTCTGGTGCTGTATGAATGAAGCTCCACAGAGCTGATGGCTGATGTCTGAGTGTGACAGGAACTCCACTGCCTCCTGCAGAGTGATGTTAGGCAAAGATCCCTCGGCACCACTCGCACTGAACAATGTTCATGAAACAAGTAACAGACACACTATGACACTAACTATGACAAAAACAGAAAAAAATGACTATTTAAATTTGTATTTGCTAAAAAATATTTTTTTAGAAGCACACTAGCATTTAGAGGACGCGAGGCATCTGCAAAATGAATGTTTCGAAAACAGAACTCACATTTCATACTGGCACATTAAAAAAAAACACAAAACATGAACGCAATGTTTCTGTCAAGCATCTAATGTGCTTTTACATAATACTATTAGCGCATAATATACAGTAACTAAACTAGATCGAGACGCAGCCCAGATGCAGCACACTCACCCCAGTGGTTCTGATTTGCTCTTGGTCACGGTGACTTTCCTCACTGTCTGTGATTGGCTGAGGGAAGGTTTGATGATTGTCTGTGATTGAGCCAGCTGGTTATTCTCCTGGATTCTCATGGATTGTCCAGTTGCTCGGGTATATCGCACAGTAGCAGACCTCCCTTTGGACTGCTGGGTAATTGTGCTGCCTGCCTTATTCATGGCTGGGTCACTGTCACCGCGTCTCAACCCATTGGACTGAGACTGTGCATTCCAGTTCATCTGAGGCTCCCACTGGCTGTTCTGTGTCTGTCTTCTCACCGTGTTGCGCACAGACAAGCTGCGACCAGTCTGGCCAAATAAAAAGCAATGATGAATTAAGTGCTAATGGATTAAGAAAAATCACAAATAACATACAGTAATATTTAGGGGCCAAGCACCAAAGGTGCGATGGCACCTATTGTATCCGTTGGCGTTCTTCTTCTTCCGTTTCTTCTGCTTTGGAAGTCTATGGCAGCCTTTAGAACCGCTTGCAGGAAAGTTGTGAAATTTGGCACACCGATAGAGGACAGTCTGATCTATCACCATTGCAAATTTGGAGTCTCGAAGTCAATCCCTCTAGCGCCACCAACTTTATGTTAATAACTTTTGAACCGTAAACTTTAGAAGAAAAATAAATTTTTCCTCTGAATCCTTGGCTCATGTGCAGTCAAAAGGACACCAATTTAAAAATAGTTTAGTTTTTTTGCTATTACTAATAGTTTGAAAAAACTACTTTTTCAAACTTGTCCTAGAAAAAGTAGGCCACCTAGTGGTCAGAATATATGAAAAAATTCAATTTTTGCTTATAACTTCTGAACGGCTTGACCAAAAATCACAAAACTCTCTCTTTAGATTTGGTGTGGCATGCCGAGTCGAACCCAATTTTCCCCATGTAAGCCATTTTTTGCGTCTGCCATTTTGGATTTTGTCGTAAAATGCTATATTTTATGAATGCATTGGCGTATCGTTACCTGTTACGTTATGTGACTTCGGCACCACCATGTGTTAATCTCACAATTTCAAGTTTATCTTAAAATTCAGACTTTTTTCTCAGAATTGTTTGTATCTTGAAATTCAGACTTTTTTCTCAGAATTGTTTGTATCTTGAAATTCAGACTTTTTTCCTCAGAATTGCGACTTTGTATCACAATTGTGAGTCAAAAACTTAGAATTGAAAATAGAATAGAATTAGAATAGAAACTCATATCTCACAATTCACTTTTTTTTCAGAATTACGACCACATATCTCACAATTCAGACTTTTTTTTTTCAGAATTGCGACCTCATATCTTACAATTCAGAATTTTTTTTTTCAGAATGTATCTTGAAATTCAGACTTTTTTCCTCAGAATTGCGACTTTGTATCACAATTGTGAGTCAAAAACTTAGAATTGAAAATAGAATAGAATTAGAATAGAAACTCATATCTCACAATTCACTTTTTTTTCAGAATTACGACCACATATCTCACAATTCAGACTTTTTTTTTTCAGAATTGCGACCTCATATCTTACAATTCAGAATTTTTTTTTTCAGAATTGCGACCTCATCTCAAAATTCAGAATTTTTTTTTCAGAATTGCGACCATTTTCACAATTCAGAATTTTTTTTTCAGAATTGCGACCTCATATCTCACAATTCCGTTTTTTTCTCAGAATTGTTACGTTATTTATTGCAATTCAGACATTTTCCCTCAGAATTGCGACTTTGTATCTCGCAACTGCGAGTTATAAACTTAGAATTCTGACTTTTTTTTTCAGAATTTAGAATTTATATCTCACAGGTCAGTTTCTTTTCTCAGAATTGTGACTTTATATCTAGCAATTGTGAATTATCAATCATGAGATGTAAATGTGCAATTGCAAGAAAAAAAGCCCAAATTGTGAGATAAAAAGTTGCAATTACCTTTTTTATATTTGTATTCCATGGCAGAAAAAAAAACTATTTTAGTATTAATACCATTAATACCAAATTAAGTTTTTTTATGCATTTCCTATCTTATTACTTTGGGTGTAGTTTGCTCCGTGTAAAATCTTCATTGGTAAGCGATTTTACCAATTCTCTAGGATAACATCTACAATGCATTATGAGCTGTACTATCAAAACAATTTGACAGTTACATTATTCTAAACTCTAGTTGCATTATCTATTCTATTGTGCTGTTAACTGCATTTTGTCTGCTTTTCTTTCCCTTTTGATTTTACAAACTGAGTGCCAATCAAAATAATTTTCTGCGGTAATGGTAATGATAGAGCTTAAACATTTAACTCAGCATATTCCTTTGCCACAGCCATGCACAGCGGGGCAAAAAAGAAAAAGGGAGGAGAAAATATTTGTTGACGTTAAATGTTGTGCATTCAGTCGAGCACTACAGTAATTTGGTTAATCTGCCAATTGCTAGAAGCAGCCAGATAGAAACCAACATGGACAGGTTGTGTGACATACCCAAATCCTGAAAAAAATAAAATAAAAACACAAATAAAATGAACTACATTAAATATGGGTTGGCTTGCAACAAGGATCAACATGGTCTGTACTGGTTACAATATGTACTGTAAATGATTGGTTGCTGAGAACCCATCTAAATTCAAGAGATATTTAGAAAACTAACAGCTATAATTCAATGTTAAACAAAGTCAGTTTACCTACATTATGTTAATACTAACACTGATATTAAACTACAAGAACTACTGACTTAAAGCCACTTCTCATTGTTTAATGAGCAGATGCTGTTTCTCGGGGATAGTGAATAATAAGTGAATAATTGTGTCTTGCACAATGGTGCAGTAACTCCTTCACTCTGATCCAGCGGGGCACAGAGCTCTTGAGGTTCAGTTACAAAAATGATCAAGACGCAGAAAAAGAAAGAAAATCTGAGGCACAGGACAGGACTTGCATAAAGTGCAAGTGAGTACATTGCTAGAAGGCAATCAGTTTGATTAAAAATACTCTTGGTTTAAAAATATGAACACACAGGGAAAAAAATGAACCAAACTGTTCCAACAGCCATCTTATTTTAATAAACTGCTTCAAATCATAATACAGAAGACTGCTGAGTTCCGAGTGCGAGTGCTGCTAATTCACAAATGGTGTGCTTTACATATCTACTGCAAATGAAAGGCAAAGCTTAAAGAGTGACGACAATTTTCAAGATGGAGAAAAGGGAAAAAAATGAGAGAGAGAGAGAGAGAGAGAGAGAGAGACTGTAAATGTATGTTTGTCCACAATTTATCTGTCTATATTATTGTCAACAATATCATGAATGCAAATACAATTTTGAAAAGGCTTACATGTCACATGCCATTTTTACATTTTAATGTCTATCCAAACATGCAAAAATTAATGTGGTGTACCTGGGTTTTTTAGTATCACCTAGATACTATTAGTTACTTTAATTTCTGTTTTCATTATAATTTTAGTTAAAGTTTTGGTAATTTTGTTTTGTGTTTTTGTCATTTGTATTAGTTTTTTTTTAATGTCAATATAATTTTCATTCATTTTTATTTGAGTTATTTTAGTACAGCAAGCCTTGGCAACTAGCTGAAATAAAATGTCAGTTGTTTTTTTTTTTGCATTTTATTTCAGTTAAAGTTTTGTTTCAAATTAACAAACTTGCTTGTTTTATGGTTTAATTTCTATGTAAACTGTAATAACCCTGATGTGCATATTTTACTTGTAATTAAGAATGTGAATGGCTTACCCCCCTTATTTGACTTTGACTGTCCACAATTTATCTGTCTATATTATTGTCAACAATATCATGAATGCAAATACAATTTTGAAAAGGCTTACATGTCACATGCCATTTTTACATTTTAATGTCTATCCAAACATGCAAAAATTAATGTGGTGTACCTGGGTTTTTTAGTATCACCTAGATACTATTAGTTACTTTAATTTCTGTTTTCATTATAATTTTAGTTAAAGTTTTGGTAATTTTGTTTTGTGTTTTTGTCATTTGTATTAGTTTTTTTTTAATGTCAATATAATTTATTCATTTTTATTTGAGTTATTTTAGTACAGCAAGCCTTGGCAACTAGCTGAAATAAAATGTTTTTTTTGCATTTTATTTCAGTTAAAGTTTTGTTTCAAATTAACAAACTTGCTTGTTTTATGGTTTAATTTCTATGTAAACTGTAATAACCCTGATTAAGAATGTGAATGGCTTACCCCACTTATTTGACTTTGACAGTGCTACTGTTAAAGTTAATAAGTATTGACACATTTATCATAAATGCACAAAACCATTTCACAGCAACTACACTGTGATGCTTTGAAACACAAAACCTTCTTATACTTTCATGTTTCAATTCAAATTTATTTATAAAATCTGACACCATTCTTGACGCACTTTTCTGGAAAAAAAAAACAAAAGCCGGTCTGATCAAAGTTAAACTACAAAATGCTATAATCTAGTGATCGACCGATATTGATTTTTTTATAACCGATAGCGATTATTTGCATGTTTATGTGCCCGATAACCGATATGCAGAACCGATATTTATTTACTGTTATAAAATAAATAAATTACTGAGTGAAGTAAGAACATACTTCACTTTGGTTTTTCCTCTTTTCAGTCATCTTTTTTTTTTTTGTGTTGAAAATTAGCAGTCTTTCATGTTAAAATTAATCATCATACTACAACAATAAAAAAAACATTTTATTTATAAAATGCATCAACAGCAACCACACTACTATTAACAATAAGAAAAATATACAAAATTAAAATATGGAATAATAGGCGTTTATCGGTGAATCCGATATTACAAAACCGATTATGGTAAAATGCTTAAATATTGGGAAAAATATCGGTAAATCGATATATCGGTAGATCTCTACTATAATCTCATAATATATGACCCTGTAGCAGATTTTATCTAGTATCTTGCAATAATAAACATATTATATCTTTTTAGAAGCTGTCATTCAATAAAGCATAATAAAACGCCCTCATTTCTTGGGCAACGTCTACAGAACAAATGCCAAACACAGAGTGACAGAGCTCATTCTTAGGTATTACGCTGTAATGTTTTTGCATAAACAAAATACTCTTGGTTTAAGAATAAACACACACAGGGGAAAAAAATTAGCAAAAGTGTTCCAACAGCCTTTTTCTTCACAACAGCCACCAGCTTGTTTTAATAAACTGTTTCAAATCACAATACAGCAGACTGCTGAGTTCTGAGTGTGCTAATTCACAAACGCTGTGCCTTAAATATCTAGTGAAAAGGAAATGCAGTGCTAAAAAATGAATATCATAATAATGCCAGTCAAATTATAAACTAAAATGAAAACCAAAAATATACATCATGCATGAATAAAATACTGTAATGCAAAAAATAGCATTCTCTTTACTGTAATATATCTGGATGTTTTACTTTTTAATTTGTCTGTAATTCTTCAGACATTCTTCTGATTTTCTTTTCGGTTGTTATTAGTGTAATAGATTGGTCCAAACACATGACAAATGAACTTCGTTCATGAATAAAGCTTACAATTCAAATTCTATACATGTTATTTCACAACAGAATAATGAGAATAGTGTGTGTGTGTGACTAATTGAAATGATAAATAATATAAAGTCTATATATTTAGTTGTTAAGGGTAAATGTGACCTGGAAATTATTTTGTGAGATTCACTCAACAATGACTAGAAAAAATTTGGCTTGAAAAAGGGGATGGAAAAACGGGAATCATGAAACAGCCTAACGTTATTAATAAACTTGCTTGTAAATGTCTTGCTTGTAATCCATTCATTAAAGAAAAACACATTATTTGATTAAATTTTAATTGCATCCCAAAAGATTTTTAATGCACTCCTACATTTTTCAAATCAGGACCACATGTGTTCATTGGGGGGAAAAAAAATAAGCGTCAAGGTCTGCCTATATCAAATTCAACAAAACTTTATTAGTTTATCAATTATGAAAAAATCCATCTCACTAAATTATTTTATTCCAATTTAGTAATACTGTATATACTTCTAAAATGGAGTCAATTTGTTAAGTTCATTTCTTTGCTGAATATCAAAATACTTATATAAGTTATGTGGAGAACAAGCAATCATAAATAAGTGTTGTCAAGCAGTACAGTGTGTGTGTATATATATATATATATATATATATATATATATATATATATATATATCATGCTGCTGAGCACATAGTGTGTGAGACTTTACCATTATGCTGTGGCTTGCTGTCATGTTGGAGCCACTACATTTGAAGAGTGTGCCGGACATATTTGTAGGCGAGAACTGGAATTTAGGCTCACTGTATTCTGTCACCGATGCCGGAGCTACAGAAGATGCAAACAAAGTTACAAATGACAGAATTATAATAATTCACTAGTGTCTACACTAGCTAATTAAACATGGCACCTTTAGTAAATGTCTAGTACACCAGTTTGGCTTTGTTTGTTTGTAGGGATGAAAATGTGAAAGTATATAGAAATATGACTGTAATAATAATTACTAAATAAAAAACAATAAAATAAGAAATGTTATTATAGTAAACAAATCATGCATTTAAGAAAAAATATAGAATCATTTAATTTTATCTTGCAGGGCTAACTGTAAATGTAAAATTACAATATTAATGTCTATTGTTGTCCTAATTTATTCATTTTAAAACGTTAAAACACCAAACGTTTATTTTAACAAACTCAATTTGAAACACTAGACATTTATTATAATAATCGCATTAAGCCATATCATGATTTTGGTTTTATTTCGATCAATTATGCAGCACTATCCAAATGTCTCACTTATATGCAAATCTAACCTTAATTTTCAAAAATTCTATAAAGAGACAAATAATTACTAATAAATAATTATCGTATATGTACTAACCCTTTCTAATAGCATTACATTAACATCATTAGTGTTAGCAGAGCATCATGATATACTCTAAAACTACATTAAACTACAAAAATTACTTTCTAATTCTTGTACAATTATACGTGCAGTTTTAGGACTACATGTCCATTGAGAAACTACATATTAAAATGCAATTAAAAGTCACATTTTCTTTTAAATATTAATACAATTTTATCCAAACATTCGGTGCAAAAAAATTCATTTTTATGTTTTTGTTTTGTTTTTTTTAATCAGCAACCCACATTCAGACAGGCTGAAATATCTTTAAACGTCATATATACTTGCACATGGAATATTGATTTGTTAAGAATTATAAGTCTGTTATTATAATAAAATACAACCTGCAACTGTGTTGAACAAGACACATTATTATCTTATCATTCTCTTAGCAAACATCACTGGGATATTAAATGCAATTAAATTAAATGCAAATCAGCAAACTTCTGAACTAGACAGCAGGTCACTTCTAAACACTGGCTGGATCCCAATATTACGTCTGTGTCTCAACTCTTATAGTGAGTGGCCTACCAAGACAGCATTTTGGGCAGCATAAGCTCACAAAATTATGTACAGTACATTCCAGTTTTACAGTAGCAGTTTTGTATACTGCGACCGCACAGACACAATAATCACCAAAAGAGCCGTTCCAAAGAGAAGCGTTGCATTACCTCACAAAAGAGCCATTCCAAAGAGAAACGTTGCATTCCCTCACAAAAGAGCAGTTCCAAAGAGAAACGTTGCATTTGCATTCCCTCGCAAAAGAGCCTTTCCAAAAAGAAACGTTGCATTCCCTCGCAAAAGAGCAGTTCCAAAGAGAAACGTTGCATTCGCTTTCCCTCGCAAAAGAGCCTTTCCAAAAAGAAACGTTGCATTCCCTCGCAAAAGAGCTGTTCCAAAAAGAAACGTTGCATTCCCTCACAAAAGAGCCTCAATAATGCATCTATTGACAGAATAAGGTCGCGCTGCTGAGGCGAGGCTCACACAGTCTCTCCAGGAGAAATCAAAATGCGCAACACTAACAAACTCAGCATCCTGAGGTAAACATTCAAAATGGAAAGTTTTTATATTTAAAATGCAGTTAGTTAGGCAACATCACACAACGTTTTCACCATTATGACTGTTTAATAGTTCTATAAACAGTTCAATATATAAATACAATAATATTAGGTCACTTACATTTTAGGCGGAACACAGCGCACCTCTCACAGCAAACAGCCGATTCATTGCTGATTGATTCCGTGATTTGATCGAATCGGTTGAGTCAAAGTTTCATTAGCCAACGCATAAACATCTGATGAATCTGCCGTTTGAACGAATCGTTTGAACGAACGACTCAAAGACTCACTCATTAAACGCTCACTACTGGCACCTACTGGCGTCTTAATTTCGTTGAAAAGTATCATTTCCACCATAATTTCTTGTTTGTATATTCAAAAATATTTAAAATAATCTCATAATATTATTTAATGCAGTTGTATTTTTCAGTGTAAATTATTTAATTTGGTAATCAATAGATAATCACTTCATTATAATTTAATTTATAGACCAAATGTAAGAATCTGAAAGGAAAGTATTAATTAGATTAATTAAGATGAAATGACATTCAAACAGTGTTTATTAGTTGCCTAAAATGTGGTCTAATACTTCAACAACAACCATTAAAAAAATTGACTTAAGTCTCTTTTGAATTACATTAAAATATCAGTAAGCACACTGTGTCTTTACAGACATAGACAAGCACAGAATTAAATAACTTCCCTCAAGGAAATAAACAGGGCTTTCCATTCAAGTGTTGAAGATGTTCAGTTCGCTGAGATGCAAAAGAGCAGCAGCTCTGTGATGATTAATCTGTCTATTCACTGAGTTGAGGTAGGTATAGCCTCAGAGCACTGATCTCAGATCAGCTCTTCAAGTTATATCCTAACAGCTATTATGTAACACTGAGGTACAGAAACCTGATCCAGCACCAGCTCTTACGGGTCAACCTTACTCCTCCCGTTTAAAAGGACTCAGCGGCTGGAGATCCGGAGAGCCATCTGAGGATGGGGATGCAGAGAGCCGACATCCTGTCAGCTTAGTCTGGAGGTCATTAGAGGTCAGCATCATCTGGTCTTCAGTCTCTTTCAGGACTTTGATGTGTGCGGTGAAGAGCAGGTAGAGCAGAGCTCCAGAGAGGAGCAGGCTCATGCACACAGCTCCCAGAAGCCCCAGCATGCTGAAGGAGCAGAAGCAGGGCAGGAAGGCCATAGCCAGCGGCAGCAGCAGTGACAGCAGAGCACCGAACATCAGACGCATTGCTTTGTCCCGCAGGGCCTCTGTCTGACACAGACCTTCCTTCACCACCGCACGCACCTCTGCCACCACGTCCATCTGCTCTGATACAGCCAGTGCTGGAGGAAGATAGGGCGATGCAGAGTAAAAATTAATTCAACCTACAGTTTGCTTTTAACATCCAATAGCATGTGCATATGTACTGCATTGCAGCAGGGTTTCCTTGGTTATCCTCACCGTCGCTCGATCCATGCTGTCTGCTGTCCTCGGAGCGCAGCAGGGACAGTTCAGCAGTCAGAGCCTCATGGTCAGAATAAGGAAAGGGTTCATCAGCCACTGGACCCTTGGTGGTGGAAAGAGACTCACACTTCATGCTCACTCTCTGAGAACCCTGCACAAGAAAAAGAAGAAACACGAACACTAATGTTGAGTATGTCATATGGAAAGGAGCAGCGTGAAAACTTTAAAAGTTTGTGGCTGGTAAGATTTTTAAATGTTTTTGAAAGTCGTCCCTTCAAAAATACTGTAAAAACAGTAATATTGTGAAATATTATTATAATTCTCTGTTGTAATATATTATAAAATAAAGCAATAATCCCCAAGAAGCAGTGGTTTACAGTGAATTTATAACAGCTAAGGGGCGCTTCACGGGGCTTATTGCTTTTATAAAATGGTTATATATTCTCCGTTTTATAATGTAATTTATTCTTATGATGCAAAGCTGAATTTTCAGTATCATTACTCCAGTCTTCAGTGTCACGTGATCCTTCAGAAATCATTCTAATATGCTGATTTGCTGCTCAAGAAACATTTCTTATTATTAGCAATGTCAAAAACAGTTAAGTTGCTTCATATTTTTGTGAAAACTGTCATACATTTTATTTCAGGATTCTTTGATGAATAGAGGGTTCAAAAGAAGAGCAATTATTTGAAATAGAAATCTTTCATAACATTATAAACAGCTTTACTGTGACTTTTGATCACTTTAATGCATCCTTGCTGAATAAAAGTATTAATTTCTTTAAAAAAAAAATGCACTGACCCCAAACATTTGAATGCAGTCTATATATTTGAATTTCTTACAAGATTATTTTACCTTCATGAGAATATAGTCAATCCTGATGCCCTTCTCGAAAGGAACAAGATCTTGCTTCTTTGTGAAGTGATTGTCTGCTATTAGCGTGTGACCGTCTTCACAGCCCTGCAGAGAGCAACACAGTGACGGTTCCAATCAAAACTGAACACACAAACTGGATAAACAAGTAAAAGGAAGTGCGCTCACATCAAACGTGTCTGTTTCAGTGTAGCAGTCTCTGAGCCCAGTGTGGGATCTGAGGAGTCGGTTTCCCAGGTCCTGAGGGTGCATGTTCAGATCCCCTCCCAGAACCACCAGATCTGCTCCGCAGGACGTGTGGCTAAAGAGGCCATACGGTATGAGTTTACCAAAAGCATGTGACCTCCTTTCTCTACAGCACACTTAGAAAACACACTTGTTCTTACCGCACGAACTGCAGTAGTTCCCACGACTGCACTATTCTGTGGGTCAGGTATTCATCTTGAGCTCTGGAGTACTCTGCATGTAACTGAGAGGAAAGCAGTATCATCACTGAAGGTGCATGGTCTCCAGTTGCTCATAAATAAACCCGAGTGAACATGAAGAGCACACCTCGAGACCTATTAAAGCCAGATTGGACTTACATGAGTAACGTAGACATGTGCCTTTAATCCAAAAATGTCTACAATGACCAACCCAACTGCTTTACCTCCAAACCAGTCGCCATGGTGCAGCTGAGATGAACACACACACACACATACACACACACGCGCACACACACACGTATAAAAGTTAATGCAATTCTTGCTGTTCTTCAATTCTAGTCACATTATGTCCATACATGTCCTTGGACATACTTTTAAAAAGAGCACTTATTACAGAAATGATATACTTTAAAAGAATTGAAGTGCAAACTGAATGTAATGTTTTCAGATACTTAATTGCATGTTAATTTCAATTAAATGAAAAATGTATTATAGTTCAAATTCGTATTACATGCAATCAACTGAACTTTAAGTATAGGACTTATATACATATTTATATATAATTTCATAATTACTTCTATTGTATGTTGGTTAATATGGTTGAAGTGTAATGATGAAAGTACTGACAAGCATTTATGGTAAACTACAATCTACTTCAATGTAATTTCTATTGA